CTTCTCTTTCTCTGTCCTGAGGAAACCCGAAGAAGAACACCGAAATCGTGACTTGAATCTAAGGAGAGCCACCTCACAATACCTTTCTTCCTCTTTCGAACCAATGGATAAAAGGCGAGGAAGATGTTTTGTTCGCGACTTATAACAAGTGAAGAGTGCTTCGCTCCGCGGAAACAGGGAAGGCAGGAGTGGTTTTGTGAACAACAGGGAGGCGGGAGTGGTTTTCTGAACAACAGGGAGGCAGGAGCGGTTCGCGACATTAGGGATCAAGAGTGGGAGATGTCGCGACATTGCGCGATCAAGAGCGGGAGATGTCGCGACGTTTTGCGATAGAGGAGCGGGAGCGAGAAAGGGGGATCGGGCGGACCGGGCTCCATCTCAACAATATTGTCACCCGTTACATCGGTGATAGGTTATGGGGCAGGTAAGCTCCCGCCGAATCTATATCATAAGCACTGTGTGGAGGCTGAATGGTTGACATATTACCTGCGAGGATAGTGACATCTTCAGAGGGTATCTTTTTTATGATCAATAATATCGATAACTTGAAGCGGATCAATAGGGGGGAAATCGCTACCTCTGGCGAACCACTTTGCTTATTTGGTTTGAGATGAGGGTGTAGATGAAGACATTGAGAACTGGAGTGACCGAACATACAACAGTTCGAACAGTACGAAGGGAAATGCTCAATCACAACATTTTGTCAATATCCATGATTTTGTGTGTCTAACCAAATTTTCTCAGAAGCGATTAAAGTAATGTCCCTCTCAAGTACTCTGGCTTCAGATGGACGGGAAAAATTAAAAGTATGAATGTCCGTTTTGAGTGACTTACCATAGGCTGAGACAATATAGTACAACACTTTTTGAGTAAAGCAGTAAAATTTCAGGCTAGTGAGGCGAATCAAGACCGGAATGATTGGTGATTTCGTCTCTGGGTTAAAATCCACCGACCATTTCAAGATCTTCATTGCCCTGATATCAATTCAGATTACTCTTCTAACAAATAAGCGCGTATAATCATTTTCATTATTAAGTTGAATAAGAACGTGTCTTCCATCTAGAAGTTCAATTTTTCACTCCCAACAAGATGCATAAACTCAAAATTCTTACGAATAAGCTCCATTTTGGGATGACCATAATGAAATTTTCCAACCAAATTTAGACGATAGGAGGAAGCAAGTTGATTACATTCAACTTCTGTAAAAAAAATAACAGACTTCTCATCTTCCTTCCAAATTTCTTGACGTCCTCCGCCAACTCAAACGAAGGAGGAAAAAAACACGATTTAGGAGTACATGAGGTGTGGTCACCCGCAAGTGCAGTAGCATACGTTCGGTCCGAGGCCATCACGAAGGTGCGACTTTAAGACAAGACGAAGCCAACAAAACAGAGCAGCAAAGAACAGAGCGGAGGAAACCCCTTCTTCGAGCACAAACAACGAAAGGAAACAATTGAAGCAGACGAAACACAAGGAAACAGACAAACAAAGTCAAAGAAGACAAAATCTCGAAGTCCTCGAGGCAGACGAAGTTGCAAAGTCAAGGACCGAAGCAGGCGAAGTTGATGCACACGAATTCAAAGAAGACGAAGCACGACAGAGCAGAAAAAGCACGACGAAGGAGCAGACTGTGATTTCGATCCGGCGTAGAGATAACGAGGTCTACTTGGGTCGCCATGAAGACACAACGGGAGTAAACCCTAGCAGAGACATCGTAGATCGTATATATGAAGTAATGTTAGATATATATTTATATATATTCAAGATATATATAAAAAATAAATTTCTACATCATGTAACTCGATGATTTAAAAAAAATTAGTCATCCCCACTTTTGCAAACATTATATATATATTCTTAATCTCGCCTAAGTACTCTCATGCATAAATAACCCCTTAATGAATGAGAAAATATAAGTTTTTGCCATTCTCCTCAATTTTAGAGAGTATCAGAGCACCAGGTTAGGGTCCAAACCTTTGAACTATTTTTTTCAACCCAATTCCTTTTTTTCTCGTTTATGTCTGAGAGTTCTAATTTCTCCAAAAAATAAACAACTATCATGCACTATAAGAACCTAGCAAATCCAATCAAAGGAGAATTCCAAGGGTCGCAAAAATCATATTGACATGATAAAAGAAATTAATTAAAGAGACCTCACCTTATGAAGACCTACTTGAAAGAAATAGAGAAACGTCATCACCTTCTTGATCGAGCTTTGGATACTGAGAACTAAAAGACTCCAAAAGCCAAGGATGTTGCTCTCTATAGGTCATTGAATACTTCAATGCAATGAAGGTTTTCTAGCAAGAAATAGATTATTACCAAGATCTCAATGTGGATGCAAAATGATGATGTGGTTCTAAAACATTATTTAGAAGGAATAAGAATAGTTGAGCTTATTGTAGGTTTATATGAAGAGATTGAGCAAGTCAGCATCCAAATCTTAGTCAAAAACATCATGCCCTCTCATAATGAAATCATCTCCCTTATACGGGCTGAAGAAGGACAAATTTCTATGTTAGAAACATCAACATGGAAGATCAGCCATGGCAAGCACAGAAACTTACGGTAGAGGACTAATTAACACCATCTAAAATGAAGGACAAAAATTTCATAAAAAAAAAGAAATTTGTGCAATTACTACAAATAAAACACATAATAAAGAACTTTGTTGGAAACATCATGAGAGAACTCAAAGGCCAAGATGGATATAAAAAAAAATCGATCAAAAGGGCATGCTCAATTCACAAACTAAAAGACTCGACCAAAGAGAAATTGACAGGCTAAGAAATCTTCTCAACACTCTAAAAAGAATCTAGGTCATTCTCTCTAGATCAAAATGATAAACTTATAATCCTTGTATTTTTAATGCCATGAATAGTTCCCACAATACCTAGGTAATTCTGTCATGTGCCACAAATCAAATGACAAACTCCTATATCTTTCAAGCTACAAACCCAAAAAGTGAAAGTACGTAATGACTCCTTGGCTAATATTATAGGACAAGGGAATATTCCAATTGCTTCTTCACTTGCTCTCAGTAATTTTTTGCATGCTTCTCATCTTGCTATAAAATTTTACTTTTATTCATAAAATAACCCAAAATCAAAACTACAGTGTGACATTATTTACTAATCATTGTGTTTTCAGAACCAAACTACGAGAAAGAGAATTATACAAGTTAGAAAAAAGTGTAAGCTACATTTATTTGTAGACAGTAATGTTCGTAACAATCATTCATCTTCTTTATTTATATTTCTAGTAAAAAAAAAGACTATTTGGGGTCAACATTATAAATTAGGACATCAAAATTTTAAAATTCTCAAACGAATGTTTCACTCCTTTGCTCAAAGAACATTGGCAGTGAAACTTTTCATCACAAAACTTGTGTAATTGTTAAACATCATGGAGTATATTTTCTTCAATCATCTACTTCGTCATGTTAATCCACTCTGATATTTAGAGATGTAATAACTTAATATCTTTAGAGCCAAATGATTTATAAGACTATTGATGATCATACTTAAATAACATTGGTTTTTATTATAAAAAAAATGATGAAATTTAGCAACGCAGGGCTCCATGAGCCAACTGAACTAGCCGGCCCTGGCTTGATGGCCGACTGGACCAGCCAACCATGGAGCGCCGACCATGAGGCGTGATTTACCGCCCCTCCTTTTTCTTTCCTTTTCTATTCCATCCATAAGGATGATTCCTTTCCTATCATATTTTTTGCCATTTTCTATCCCTTTCCTAATCCATCCCTTGACTTTTCTTTCGCTTCCTAATCCATCTCTTTTCCTTTCTATTACTTGTTTTTATCTACTTCCACCTATGATATATAGGTTACTTTGCTTGCTCATTGTTAGTTCATGATTATTTCTGATTTCAGATTTCTGCTTCCGGCATTTCCCTATTCCAAGGGTTGTATTCGACAACGAGAAAGTGTTCTGATTGTAATTCATCTGATGTGGTGATTATCTCCGCTTGTTCAATCCCCCTTTCTGCTGCTGCAAGCCCCTCCAAGGCCCGTCTTTCCTGCCGCCAGCCCCTCCAGGGGCTGTCTCAACAACTGTCAACCCCTCATATTTTTAATATAGCCTATGAGAAAACCTTGAAGTAGAATGAAGCTAAGCTCATAAACATCGAGGCACCTTTTAGTTAACGGTTGGAATTTCATCAAAAATATCAAAGTTAAGTGTGCTCATGCGGGAGCACATCTGGGATGGGTGACATGCTGAGAAGTTACACCAATAGGACAAAACTGTGAGGCTAATGCCAAAGCGGACAATATCTCGATGGATGAGAGTTTAGGCTATTGCAAATGATAACATAGCCTAGTATCAATCTAAAGTTATGAATATTTGTCTGGTGGATCATTCTAGGTTGAGAAAAATAACGAGAATGTCAGTACTTAAGTGGGGAAGATTATAAAACCCTTTAATTATGATGAAAATAAACCCTTAAGTTGAGGAGTGTTTTAGTGTAACGGCTGGAATTTCATCGAAAAATTTGAAGCGTGCTAATGCTGGAACACTCCTAAGATGGGTGACCTCCTGGGAAGTTATACCAATGGGACAAAACCGTGAGGCCATTAGGCCAAAGCGGGACAATATTTCGATAGATGAGAGTTCAGGTTGTTACATCGTAGCTAGCTCTATTGTATAAATAACCCTTCAATGAATGAGGAAAGACACAAAATTTTACCAATCTCCTCATTCAACAATTCATAATCATTCATTCAAGTAAATGCTAACTATTCTAGTAGTTCTAGTCAATTAGCAATCAGATACATAAACTACATAGAAAACATAATAAAGCCCACGTTTGAGATTGAAACACACAAAGATAGGATAAAAAAATTTTGTAAGTCTAAACGTTAGCATTTAGATTTATCAAAAAGGGTGTATTGGAACATGCTGCAAAAAAATAGAGAATGAGAATTCTACAAGCAGTTTTGAGGAAAAAAAAAAGTTCCGTGTTGCCAAAGTTCAACTTGCCTGAATCTCAATAACAAAGGTTCGAGACCCATCTACAACAATTGCAAGCGCAAGTCCAGCTAAGACATCTGAATCAGAGTAATTCTCACTTAGAAACATTTCGCTGGGATTGGAAACTGCCTGAAGGCCTGATTCTGTCATTTCAAGCAAGCCAAGCTAAAAAAAAAAAGAATTCATTAATTTCTCTTGAATAAAATACAACTAGACAATTCAGTAATTTTAGTTCAGAATGCAATATAATTGGATGATAAAATGTCCATGCTTCCAGAACTTCAGGAGCAAATCCATTCATGGTTTAGAAACCTTTTCTATGACAACAAACAAAAATACAGAAATGGTCATTGTATTTGTAATTGACACTTAATTTCACCCGCGGCGACTTGAAATCTAATAACACTGCAGAACAAAAGAAGGATACAGGCAAATAGTCTGATCAGTTCATCCAAATTCACAAACAACAGCTTACGTGACATGCCATTAGCTCTTGCATTTTGCAGAGTAATAGAAGTATTAATGTGAGGCGGGAGCATCCACCAAAGTCATGGGATCAGAGATCCCTTAACTCCCGATTGAAGGAATTAGGCAATCCCATGATCGGTGATAGCTGAAAATACCAAATAGGCAATTTTCATCTAGCTGGAAATTTATGTAGGAATGCTCGCTATTTTGACTTATTTTCTTTTTCTAATTTAGTTTATATTCTATTAGAAAGCTATTTATGTGTTTCTTTATTTGTTTGATGGATTTTGGCTTGTTTTGAGTATTTTGTATTTTGTAATCTCTATTTTTTACCATAAATAGTGTTGTATCATCTTTCTTTTGCAAGTAGAGTATAAATATCTTACTCAGAAATAGGTGGTGGAGGCTCCTCGCCACACTCAAACCTCATTGTTCTAGAGCTCGCTTTGTTGTATTCAGCCGGGACAGCTGTCGAACGATGCATAACCAGGTCCATACGTCGTCGACCTAGCATAAAATCATTCATTTGCTACTCTCCAATCACCTCCACTCTAAATCTACTCCCCTAACACCTTCTAGGAGCTCTATAACGTTATCATTATGTCTATTATATTTTTAATTTTGCAACTACTCATTCAGTTTCTAATATGAATATCAACATTCTAAACCTCAATGGTCAGTCTTAGAGAAAAACAATAATATCTGTTGAAGTTATAACTGATGTGGAAGCCCGCATCCCGGGTAGACTAAGGCCCTAATTGGTCAACATCCTTGCCAGCACAAGAGTTTCGCTAGGCTGACCCTCATGGATTTCTACTTAAGGTTGCAAACAAACAAACCGAGCCGAGCACAATTATTTTCAAGCTTTAGCTTGTTTATTAAATTCAAGCTCGAGATCAAGTTTGGCTTTATGTTTATGTTTAAATTTGGTTTTTTTGTCATTCTGATTGTTTGAGCTCGGTTCATGTTTATTTCATATGATGATAATCGAGTCGATATCAAACAGATTAATCAGCAGTATTATAGATTCGCTCGATTTATAACCAAACTACCTTTATTAAGCAAATTAAAATTAGTGTTATCGAGCTATTTATTTCCCACCAAATGAGTATCAAACAAATTATAAAGTAGTATGATTGTGTTACTTATTGTCTAAATCAAAGGAGTATTATCAAGCTCATAAAGAAATTACTTGTTAAACTTACAAAAATAAATGAGTCTCAAAATGAACGACTGCTAAATGAATAACTAAAAAAAGCATATAAACGTGCAAAATAAATGTAAAATTAAACAAACAAGCCTTTTATCATATTTTATGTATTATGAGTTAAAAGTTCAAATACAAATAAATTTTAAAACAAGCTTTAGTTGATATTATTCACAAACTTTAAAATAAGATTTTATCTATCTAACGCACAAGCATTAAATCAAGCTTTAACCAAGATTATTTGTAAGCTTGTTTATGAACTTTAAATAAAACTGTCCATCGAGCATCTTAACGAGTTTGTTCACAAGTTTCAATGATATTGTTCATTAACATAAACAAATTGAAAAAAGAGATGATCAAACTTATTCATTTAACAATCGAGTATTTATACAAGATAGAAGTGTTCAAAATTGTTCAATTAATTAATCAAACAAATGCAAACGAGCTCATATCGAGTTGAGCTAAAAATAGCTTATCAAACGTTAGGTCATTTTCAACCCTACTATTTACATTATTTAGACAAATATTAGATTTAATTTAGCTGAATTGATATAGTTATGTTGTTCTGTAACCTGTTGGGAACTTTTGGCTTAATTTTATGTAAATAAGATTATTTTAACTGACTTTCTCGTCTTTGGAGTGCTGTAATCATACTCTCCTTTAGGTGGTGTGCTTGTAACTTAATCGAAAATAAGAAGAGGATGCCCGTCGATGTCTGTAAAACCCCTACCTAGCCGCCAGCCTCTCTTTCCTCACTGTTTTTTTCCCAGACAGCAGCTGCTGCATAATTGTGTTATTCAAACACCATTGATTTCAGGTTTTCCCCCAATTCATCAATATCTTACAACATCCCAATCCCTTTGATAATCCTTAGAATTCATCTAAGAACTCTAGATCGGTGTCATTACTGGTCCTTAAGATTCTTAAGTATTGTTGAGAATCTTGAACCAAACTGAACGATTGCTTTTTAGACAAGCTACTTGCCTATAAATAAGGTATAAAATAGAATAACAACATCATACTGTCCAGCTTCTAAACATTTTTATTTCAAAGTATCTTTTTTTTTCTCGTTGGGATCTCTTGTTCTTTGGATGATTTTCAAATTAGGTCAATCACGTTTCCATATGAAGGAACTATTACCCAGCTGACTTTAATCATAGTGCATGCAGCCTTTCCTTCTTCCGTGTAGAATTTTCGTTATTTTGGATTCCCTGGTGCTTATTTAGATAGATTTCCGGTTTCAAAGTGTATCCTTTGACTAACCCACTAATCTATATGATACCGGAACTAGTAGAGGAAATAGTAGAAACACCAAGAACAATCTTTCATTAACATTAAAATAAGATTACATCATGACTCGAACAGAAATAACAACACAAAACATGAAACAACACCAACAACACTTCTAAATGTATTCCAATGGGTAGTGGAGATGAGTGAGGTGGGTCGGGATGGTTGGCAAGGGTGGTGGCAACAACAAAATGGTGGTGGTGGTAGCGAAGGAAAAGTGTGGAACTATAAGGGCAGCAAGTGAAGAGGATTGTAGGTGGTCGACAGCGGTAATGTGGTAGTTTGGGAGAATCATATAGTGGTCGGCAGCTAAGGGAAGTGAAAGAGAGTTGGGGAAGATACAATCACTAACCCGGAGAGGATACAGCCGGAGCACCACCACCTCTTCGAATACAACCCACAAAGAAGAAAGAGACTCCACACAAATGATCTAAAACTAAACACACTCAAAACAGCCTCCCACACACACAGGAGACAGCTATTTATAGCCTCCCACAAACACAAAAGAAAAGAGGTGGAAAAGACAAAAAAAAATCTAGAAACTCTTCCCTAAAAAGGCCCAGTGTGGCAGATACGCCAAATATCCCCATTGGATCGCGTAAGTTCGCGAACCTTCATTCTCCTTCGCACGGGATCGCCTGCTGTCACGATTCTTCGCGCGGTTCCAGCTCCTGATGACATGATTCTACTTCGTGATCTCGGCTTCGCGATCGCTCTCGTGAAAGTTCACAGGGTCAATGCTCTCACGGGGGTTTCTCTTGCCTTCGCAAATTCTCACGGGGCATCAATCCTGTGGGATCGAAACGCCCCAAATCGGGGCGCAGTTCCCGAGGGTGTTGTTTTAGCGCACGAATTAAGATCTTGGTAACACCTGCGTCATTCTCCTAAGGTCAAAGCTTCTATTTCATTATAAGTAACCCTGGATCCCACTGGCGACTGCACCGTCGCCCGAGGTAGTTGAGTGTCTTCCCCATCTACCATATTGATCTGTCCTTCTGGGGCGTAGATCATGCCTATACTGATGAACCTTCCAAAGTACCCCATGATCGGTTCAAGTGTCCAGTGAGAGCAATATGACCCTTCTCGCAAGGTGTTGGTGTTGCTGGTATGGCATTGTCCTGACCAAATTTTGGTAGTATTTGTCCACCATCAAGGGCAGGTGTCTCGATCAGCTCATCTGGCATCATTACTAAATTTGGTTCTACTAATGTTATTCTGCTTAGAAGGGATCCTGTGACCTCGAACGAAGGAGTGTTATGTGTTTCCCGTCCTTGGTAAAAGAATACGTGTTTTTATATTCGTTGTGTTAAGTCCTTCAGCCATATTGTCAAAATTATCCCAACAAAAGGTAGCATGCATCCATAGGGACCACGACACACCCCACGTGGTCTTGCAGCTTGCCTCCAATTGAAAATTCTACCGAGCATCTTCAGTCGATGCTAACCTGATTTTCCTTCTTCAGCCACGTCAGTGAATATGCTTGGGAATATCTCTAAGTTGTGAGTCATAATTTCATTACCATCAGTGACGATGCCACGTTATTGCTATTTTTTTCATCGATGATACGACTGCATGCATTTCTGTTCACTGTGCAGCGGGTGTAGAATATGTTGTGGCGCAACCACTGCGAATCCCTCTTGTCCTTGGTTTGTAGGATTCGTCGAATCACAGGTGCCTCTCCTTCAACTGGAGGAAGCTTATGATCTTCAACTTGTTGTTTGGCCTTCCTTCATCGTTAATTAATTTTGCGGCTCCTTGATCTATGAGTGTGACTAGCCTGCTTGTGAGACAGTTAGAGGCAATGTGGTTGTAATCATGACATCGGTAGCACTTCTTAGTTGGCACCATGTTGGAGAAGTTGCCCTTCTCTTGTTTCTTCCTGCTTTGCTACGTAGTGTCATTCCCCTGTCCAGGCTTGCTTGTGTTTCCTTAGAGATCCTTGTCACTCATGGTATTTGTAAGTGACAGCCTGCAAGAAGGTTGCTACTTGAAAGATGATTGATGTCGACTCTACTTTTGTTGTCTTTCCACCTTCACGGCTAACGTCTAGATATCCCCTAGCATCCAGTATGGATGCAATTGTACCACATTGTTGATTGTGTGTTTCAATCCCCCGAAATATCTTGCAATCGTATGTTGCTCTAGCTCTGTCAGCTTGCATTTTATCTGCAAGTGGTTGAATTGGGCAGCGAACTCTTCAACTGAGAGATTCTATTGCTGCAAGTTGTGGAGTTTTGGGAACATATCCCCGCAATAGTGGGGTGGGAGATACTTTTTCTACATTACCTTCTCCATCTTTTCCCAGCTAGTACTTTTTTCGCTGCCTTCTCATTTCCTCTGCCTCAGCACATTTTTCCACCATAGGTAAGCGCTTTCTTCAGCTTAATGACAGCTAGCTTGACTTGTTTGTCTTCTGGTACATCTTTATATTCAAAAATCCGCTCAACTGATTGCAACCAGTCAATAAACTCATCGAGATCCATGCTTTCCTCAAATTCTGGACAGTCCATCTTGATGACATAATCCCTCAAACCTCCATAAAGGCCCTCTTCTCTCGGCCTCCTTTGGTATTGGATACCAAAATGACATGGTCTATATTCCTCGTCACTGTGATCTACCTTGTGGAACGGATTCATCTCTTCGTCCCTCTCTTCTCTTTAACTCTCTCAATGACGGACGAAGGTAGCGTCTTCTTGGTTTCCGTCATCTAGCTTTGCTACTCTCCGTTGTAGACAACGAATTTCAAGTTGAATCTCTTCATGTGTCGAGTCCAGTGTATCACTTCGTGGTAGCATGGTTAGGGTTGAGAATCAGAAGAAAAAATTTGGGTGGAGGTGGCTTGCATAGGAGCAGATGTTAGGAAATCCTAAGATGGGAATAGGGTCTGAACTAGCTCTGATACCAAATGATACCAGAACTAGTAGGGAAACAGTAGAAACACCAAGAACAATCTTTCATTACCATCAAAATAAGATTACATCATGACTCAAATGAAAATAACAATAAAAAACATGAAAAGACACCAACAAAACTTCTAAATGTATTCAAACGGATGGTGGAGATCGGCGAGGTGGGTCGGGATGGTTGGCGGGGATGGTGACAGCAACAGAGTGTTGGTGGTAGCGAGGGAAAGATGTGGAACTGTAAGGGCAGCAAGTGGGGAGGGTTGTTGGTGGTTGGCAGCGGTAGTGTAGTAGTTTGGGAGGAGCTTGTAGTGGCCGACGGCTAAGGGTATTGAAAGAGAAGGGTTGAGGAAGATAAAAGGAAAAGATACAATCACCACCTCAAAGGGGATACAGTCCGAGCACCGATGCCTTTTAGGATACAACCGATAAAGGGGAAAGAGACTCGAAAGTAAACACACTCAAAACTGCATCCCACACACATCGGGGACAACTAGTTATAACCTCCCACACACACAAAAGAAAAGAGGAAAAATCAACAATAATTCAGAAACTCTTTCCTGAAAAGGCCCAGTGTGGTGGATACGCGAAATAACCCACTGGATCGCATAAGTTCAGGATCCTTCCTTCTCCTTAGTGTGGGATCGCCGTTGTCACTATTCTTCATGCAGTTCCAGCTCTTGTTGACGTAATTCTGCTTCGTGATTCCAACTTCACGATTATTTCCGTGAAGATTTGCGGGCTCCCTGCTCTCACGTGGGTTTCTCACACCTTCGCAAATTCTCGCAAGGCTTCGTTCCTGCGGAACAGAGCGCCCCAAATTGAGGCGCAGTTTAGCGCCCAGGGGGGCTGTTTTAGCCCCCGAATTAGGGTGTTGGTAGCGCCCGCATCACACATAATTTCTGACTGTATACGTAATCAAAATTGAATAATTCATAATTCAAAAAACAAAAGATGAACATGCAATCTACAGAAGCTATGGCTAACAACTAGTGAAAGATAATAGCATATTCATTCAAATGCATACAAGTAATAAACCATTTTAAAATAAGCAAAAAAAAATCAACATTTACCTCATCTGTTGAGCCAAAACGATTCTTCACTGATCGCAACAACCGATAAGATGAATACCTCTCACCCTGTATTACAGTACAAATTATAATCATGTAATATTCATTCTATCTAGCCGATAAAACTTCCAATCTAATCTGTAAATAGAACAAGCAAGTAATTCTAGGCCTTTAAAATAGCATGCAAAATGGTTGCAATAACCTTCCAAATGCTCAGAACAGAAAAGAAATTCAAAAAAACATCTGGTTAACAAGCCTTCAACAAGATGACCATTTGGTTAATAAATTGTGTTAATAAATTGTGGTGCTGTTCAACCATACAAAAGCTAAGGAATATCATTCGATCACAGCAAGAGGACAAGGGGAAAAAAAGATAAAATATGATCTCTTGCAACAAATAAACAAAGATCCTGATAAAAATCCTGCGCCTAGAGCATAAGGATCCCACTAAAGTCACTGCATCATGACGAGACAGTTGGAGTCAACCTCAGTGTTGGCTCCTGTTCCTTCGAACTATAGGATGAAGCCAAAGAGCTCATGCTCCTGTACAACACAAGAACAAAGAAGGTTACACTGCTCTGCTCCCTTGTGTTTTCTTGATTTCTTGTGTAACTGTGCTCTAGACCGAAGACTTGAACCATCAAACACTTTTAATTTTCTCTTTCTACTGAAATGGACAGATCGCGCATAGTTTCCATTGTTTTGGCGCTTTGAATGGCACTTCACATGTGAAGAGCGAGCTCAGCACACAGTGGACGTGCAAGTGTGAACTGAAGCGAGGCTTTAGTGCTTCAAACCGCTTTGCACTTGAAGTGCGCTTCAAAACACGTTTTTAAAACCCTGATCACCAACTAACAAAATATTTATATAGTCAAAATGCATTTAATTACAAACTTCTAGCAACCAAATTTTTTTGTGGTTTTTTACTCATGAACAGAAGATTCTAAATATGCATTACACAATATGAAAACTTCACGAATGCATTTCAAACATTAATCAACCATACATAAAAATACACATGAAAAATATTGAACAGAATTCATTTAATATATTAGAATTTATAAATCTTACCCAACTCACAATTTTACCCCTCTGAATTGGACTCCCCGAAACTTCTTTCTTTTGTAAACAATTTCAATATTACAGCATACAAGCTTATAAACTTATAACCCGTACTAGAATATATATTCATTAATAAAACACCAAAAATCAAATCACTCACTCCTCTCCTCCCCTGTACCTTCTCTTCTTCTCTTCTTCTCTTCTTCTCTTCTTTTCTTCTTTTTCCCATTCTTCTTTATTTTCTTCTCAGGCTGCTCTGTCTTTAATCATAAGCTTCCAATTTAAATTTAACTGCTGCATGTTTGTATAAGCAAAAATTCGGAAATCCCACTCCCAGGTAGTAGATGAACAGTAGGTGAATAGTAAGAATAAATTACAACTTCAGAAAAATTTTACCAAAACCAAAACTAATTCAGAGGGGTAAATTGTAAACTTCCTCATCTTTAAGAATTAGCCTATAATTATATATATATATATATAAAAATGTATGCTTTGTAAAGTCGAATGCAATGCAAAGATTTTTATTTATTCAAAATGTATGCTTCGTAAAGTCGAATGCAATGCAAAGATTTTTATTTATTTTCAAGAAAGTTAAAATTTTAGGTGTAATTTATTTGGTATATTTTAATGCTTGTACCTTCTCAAAATTTGGGTATTACACCTTCATTGTCGATTCTGTTCCAGCGAAAGCTCTTTTGCCTACCTTTGCTTTAAAAGTTTACCCTTGATGCCCTCAGCCACTGCCTTCTACAATAATTTCCGACCGCATTGTGGTGATTTGAATGATTAAAATTATAAGGGCAACATATAGAGCGTACCTCTAAGAGGGAGGAATGCGGGTTTACTCAGAAAAAAAATTTAAGGGCTTAAAATGAGTCCCTTAGCTTGCTTTGAAAACGTTTTACAAACTGCATACCAATATTGATTTTCATCATAGCAATACAAATCATTCAATCTTCATCAAAAATACACCTTGAAGCTCTATCATTAGTTTCTTTTTTATGCTGATGATATATTGCTTGGAGTGATAAAGGCATCTCCGCTGCAAACAGCTATTTATAAAAGTTTTTTGTCATTAAAAAATAGGGATATCAAAGCAAAAAATTGAATATGCTTGCAGTTAAAAAAATCATTCTCTTGGAAGAACTATGATATTAATCTTCTGAAAGAAATAAATCTTCATTATCATCATTAGCCCCATTTGAACTATTTAGGGTTGGCACTGGGCAGCATTAATCATTATTTTTCCAAACACACCTGTTAAGTGCTATTGAAGAAAATGGAATAATAGGTTCCAAAATCGAACACCCCTAAGAAAATTCAAATCAATTATGACAACAAAGAAAAAGTTGGTGTGAAATTTTATTTACTTAACATTTGCTGGACATAGATGTTAGGGATGGAAATCTCCCTATACTTCTATTAGAGCTTTGATCTAATTTCAAAACCACACCGCAGAATAGGATCACGCTGATTCGAGGAATTTGAAACAAAATATTCGACAAGAAGCACAATAAAATAATTCCAGAAAAAGCACAGCAGAATCTAACGTGGAAAAACCAGAAAACAGGAAAAAATCACAGTCACACCATCAAGAAATTTCCACTATAAAGAATAAGAAATGTACAAAATATTCACTCAAAACTTCTCTCTTGAATCGAACTTATAGAATTTTATTTCAAACTCTTTCTCTCGATCTCACAAGAGAAATGTGCACTGAAATCCTCCTCTCCAACCATTTTCTTCTTCACGAGAAACCTGTCGAGAGAACCGCAAATAAGATCCTTCCAGTCGTCACTCAAAATCATAAAGTTAAACTAAATCAAAAAAAAAAAAAAAAACCAAACATAACGCCACTCAGCGCAGAAATGTAGCGCTCTCTATAACCGAGTGCATGGCGCCCAAAAGATGGTGAGGGGGGTTGTAGACCCCAACATGAGTGTGTCGCACCATATGTCTATAGGCGCAGGTGCATCACTCTTGAAATCTTTTTGTTGCTTGGTGTGCTTCCTTGCGGCTTTGGGTGCTCTTCTAGACTCCACACCTCAACAATCTCCCACTGGGAGACTGAAAGCACCCAACACCTGTCCACCAGATCTGCACCTTCGTCTGTAATATCTTCATAGTCACATATTGAGGTATGGCTCACCCCCAGTCTCAACTTTTATGGACTCCAACTGAAGCCAAGCATAACTCCAATTTCTTAGGGTCTGCTTGGGGCAGCTCCAGCTTAGCTGCCCCAGGAAGCTGCTGTGGGGAAATTGTGGCAGGAAAGCTGGATGGTTGTTTGTTGTAACTGTTTGACAACAGTTTTATGACAGTTTTCTCTAGACAAATAACCATTATGCCCTTAATTAGTAAAATTGTTTGTAAATACAAAGGAATTCAGTGGTATGCATGTAAACCTTTATTTACATATTAGTTATTAATCATATTAATTATATTAATAACAATTACATATAAATTTATTGAATGAGTTTAAAACTAAATTATTTATTAATTAATAATTATAAAATAATTGTAATTTTTTAAATTAAAATCAATCAGCTAAGGTTGAGTGTGGAATTGAAATACATTTACTCACATTTTCTAGGTTAATCAAGTTTTATATTAATTCCATTAAATCAAAAACTAGCATGAAACTGTGAAATAAAATCCATTTAAATCTCATGCAATTCCTTCAAACTAAACATAATCATTAATCATCAAGTTTTTTATTAATTCCATGAATCAAAAGCCATCCTAAAACAATTGTTTGAAGCAGTACAGTAACCAAAATCTTTCGAAGTGATGGAAACCTAAAAACCATCCCATGGAGAATGAACAATAAATAAAAGAAGGTTGGATTTACCATTGAGTGAATCCGCCAACAGTAAACTCCTGTTGTAATCCTTCTCTGCTTTCATTAACCACCACTCAAATAACAAGACCTAGAAGGAGAAGGAATAAGAAACAGAGTCGAATATTGAAGCCATTTTGAACGGATGGAGGAGAAAGGAAACCACGTCTCTTTCTGCTGAACAGGGGGAATATAGGGATTTCCGGCTTGAGCTTCAGCGATGGCCTAGCAGCCGCCGCCTTGGACCTCATGTGTGAGACCGAAGAAACTAAAGGCCTCCTGGGAGACGTTCGGCTTCGTGTGGGTTCGACTTCGCCAGAAGCTAGGGTAGAAGAGGCTTATGGGAGACACTGAGGAGGCAGAAGAGGGTTCGGGAGACGTGGGGAGCGCGGGGCAATGAAGGCATTATTCAAACGTAACGCGGGGCCAAAGGGTCGATCCCGCGGCTCGCGTTCCGCCTAATTTAGCGGCGAGCGACCACGAACGCAGCATCCAAACGAGAAAAAAAAAATTATGGTTTGGGGCCGTGCCACGTGAAAGAAGAGGTCCCAAACGAACTCTTAATAGTCACCACATTCGTCAACATATCTGCATGATTTCTAACATCCAAATCTTCTGCCATGTATGAATCTATAAATCCCTGTAGACTGATCTCTGCGCTTCCATAACAAAGTGTCATGTTGATTGTTCCCCTCTAATACCTGAGAATTCACTTCACCGTCTTCTAATGATGTCTGCATTAATTGTCCATGTATCTGTTGATCACTTTCATTGAATATGCAATATCTGGTTCGGTTTAAATCATAACAAACATCAAACTCCTAACTACTGATTATACGAAGTTCTCCCTGTTTGAGCTTACTATACTTCAGACCTAGGCAATAGCTGCTTAGATAGCTTGAAAGGACTACCTAAGGAGGTGCAAGCTGAGATTGCCTAAGTCAATTTGAACCCCTATAGTTACTTCTCAATATACTCTATCTGAGATAACTTCAGTGTACCTACACTCATGTCCCTGTTGATTCTTAACCCGGGGATTTTTCTAGTTAGACCTAAATCCTTAATCTCAAACTCACTTGTTAATTGATCATTTAAGTCCCTGATTTTCTTCATATTTGTCTCAACAATAAACATGTCATCCACATACAAAATGAGCAAGATATAACAA